GCTCTCTGCAGGCTAGCAGAGTTGCAGCAGTGGGGAGCAGGGGGGCAGGCAATTGAGGCTCCCATAGGGAGGGAGGCAGGGCAGGGGCTGGGGCTGCTGCCCAGCTGGAGCAGTGCATGGGGCTTGAGGCCCAGAGCCAGGATGCACAGCTGCAGGGCCCAGACAGGGAGCAGGATGGAGTCATGGGCAGCTTGTCCAAGGGGCAGGGGGACTGGCTCTCTGCCACTGTGTGCACTCCTGGGTGGGGCATGGGGGGCACATGCCCCCCCAGATGTGTGTGCAGGCCTTGTGCAGGCTGCCTGCTGTGGACTCAGGGTCCCTGCCTTATTGCCCTGCCCCTGGGCCCTCTGTGGCACAGCAAGTGGGACCTAACACAGTAGGGCAGAGCAGGATTTGGCCCGTTATTGCTGCAAGCCCTGCAACACCCTGGAAAAATGCCCCCTACCCACCCAGCAGCAGCAGGGTTGGCAGGGCAGAGTTGTGCCTCCTGCGGCTACCAGGCAGGGAGGGGGCACTTCACCAGGGTGACACAGGACTTGCAGCAGCAGCAAGTGTCCCCACCTGCCGTATCAGGTCCCACCCACTGGGCCACAGAGGTCCCAGAAAGGAGGGAAGCAGGGCAGGGAGCCCAAGCCCCCAGCAAGCAGCCCACATCCCCACGGGCTCTGCTCCAGCCATGTTGCACATGGGGGAGACAGCCTCTGCACTCCGCTCTGCCACAGCGGCCGCCGCCTCCTGTGGGTGGCAGCCGGGGCTCAGGCCCTGCTGCAAGGGGCAGGGGGCTGCAGACCTAGGTCCCTGGAGCCCTGGAAGCTGGGGGCTCCTGCCAACAGGGCTGCAGGGGGAGGGGGGTATGAGTGAGGGGCCTGGACCTGCATCTTGGTGAACTAAGGGGGCAGAGGGAGCTCTGTTTTTCCATGATACGAAACCCAAAATCAAATACCAAAATATATAGGTATTTAGAATGTATTTTACTATAGTGATTAAGGTACTTTCGGGCTTCCAAACTGCTTTAAAATTGTAACTATATCAATAAAACACTGTGTTCAATTGATACATATATATTATATATGTACATATACACACACACCTTTATTTATTTATTTATTTTCATTGTGGATTTTGGGTTTTTTAAAATCAGAGAATCTTCAATTTTTAAAATCGGAGAAAACCAGGATCCCTGGTTATGACTCAAGAAAGAGACCTTGGAGTTATTAAAGCTTCCCAAGATTAACATCAAGGTGAATGAGATCAGAATTTACCATGTCTGACTTTGCTTTGGAGACAGAATGTGTAACGTTAATTGTTTTGCAGGATTAAGTAGAATTATTGATATATCCAAAAAAGCAGAGAGTTGGCAGAAGAAAGCAGAGGAAGAAAGGAGGACAAGTTCTAAGAAGATACTATTATTGTAACTGTCATGAAAAATCCCTGGGTTTTGTTACTGAAATGGAAGATTACTGAAGTGCCACTTAACATTTTGAACAAAACAGAGATTAGAGAGAGACATTTATACTTTCAGGGTAGTTTGTAAATCATTCTCTTTCTGTCTTATTATCTTCCTCTTAGTTGAATCAGATTTGCAAATATTATTTGTCTTCCCTTTTGGAAGAAGGTCTGTTTGTGGGGTGCATTTAGCTCCGAAACTGATCTGGTTATATGCCCCTCTATTCACAAAATAATAATAATTTAAAAAAAAAAAAACTTTAAATCTGCAACATTAAAGCAATTCCTCTGCAGCTTCTCTCTCAAATTGTTCTCTTCAGTCATAGAAGGGGGATGTAAAATAATGATGGCTTTTTATTCATTAATGTTAAATATTCCATTATGATTATAGGTAGTCAGTTTGTTCATTAGAATTTACTGGCCAATAGATACTGACGCAAAGCTTAGTTTGGCATAAACTAGGATGACTGTTGACTTGAGTGATGCACTATGATTTGTATCAACTGAGAATCCAACCTAAATCTTGTAATTCCCAGTTGACAGAACAAAAAAACTGTTGGAATTTAGTTTTCATTCCAGTGGATTTATTGCTTTCTTCTGGAGATCAATAAAATGGACTTGTGCTCACTAGCTTTACACAAAGAGAAAATCATTAACAGTAGCTAATTCCATGAGGGAGTAGGAAGAAATTTGACTCTGAAGCATTGCATAAGTGACCAAAAGAATTGTGGGTTGTTTTCACCTTCTCTGAATCATCACTTATTGGTTGCCACTTTTAGCAGTACAGCAAATTAACAGACTGATGGTCCAATACAGAATGACAAATCCTGTGTTTTTATGAAAACCCTAACTGAGAACTGGTGAATCTGTCCAAGTTCCCTGGTTTGTAATGCCTCATTTCTCTGCAGTAGAAATTTCCATTTCAAGGTCTGTGCCGCAGGACTCCGAGACATTCATTCTACTTCCAGTTCAATTTCAGGTTCAAGTTCTTTGAACAGAAATTCAGATACAGGTTTTATTGCAAATCACTCAAAGGGACTGTTTTCAGAATTGCTTCACAAAGTCCTGCTTGTTACAGACTTTGCAATGGGCAAATTAAAAAGTATGAAGTAACATAGTTAGACAGGTCTGGAGGAATGCAGTGTCTTTGGTTAACAACTTGAGCCTACTGAGCTACTCAGATAGAAGAGGCTTTGTTGAGAAAAGCAAAAATTACAAGCTGTCAGCATCTCTCTCAGATAATCAGTATAATTTGTGAGCTGGTAAGGTAATCAGCTTGCACACACAGCTAACTAAATTTCATGGGATTACCATGCTTTTGTTGATATGAAACATAAGTAAATGCGTGGAAGTGACTGATGTGTAAAACATGCCTCACTTTTTTTTTTTTAATTTTGTGATCAGAACAAGAATGACTGACTTAGTGTCCTGGCTTTGGTTGACAGTTTATTTACTAGATTCTTTCCTTGCCTTGAGCAACGAAACTGCTAAATATCCCAGTAAAACAGAAGCTATCAAGACAGTAAAATGCTAATTGAAATAAATGGAAATGGTCTGAGTTGTACTCTACTTCTGGGAAAAAATAAGGCACATTCATAAATCTGAAAGATGCAGGTCCTACAGGTAAATTGTGAGTTGAGAGACTTGTCCACAGGGCAGAAGTGGCAAGAATATGCCATATTTGGAGATTCTGTTTACACCTTTGCTAAGTGACAGTAAAGTGGGTTTACATGTCAGTAGTAATTACACCTATTTCATGCTTTAGCAATCTCCAGGGCTACTAGGGGCTGGTCTGACATATCACAGCCTTTGCAGAAGAGAGCACTTAGTTTTATGAATCCAATTGAATAGAGGGAGAGGAATAGTTTAAACAATAAAAGTTTAAACATCTCTCAAATTACTAAGAGCTGCCGCTACATCCATAGTTATAATGCATGCTTAACATCCAGTGTCATGAAATTAATGATTGTATCATAACACAAAGAAGGAGTTGAATTAAGTCTGGCATTTCCTACCTTTAGAGTGTTTGACTATGATATTTTAATACTGTTCATTCATTTCCGGGGGGGATGAGGGAGGGCAGGTATGCAGTTTCCTTGATGTCTAAAAAACTAACCAGAAAAAACAACCAGCATCAGGTTGCATTATATTGACACCCAGATGGTTTGTCAACTGGGCAAGAAGCTTTAAAAAACTCAATTCACAGACCTCTTCCACTTAAGCCAAATAACCAGCTGAAAGCAGAAGTAGGTTGCCACCTTCTGTACAGAAGAACACAGAAGGGGGATGAGAGGCACATTCTGGTCTCAGACATCTGCTAACAGCAGAGTAGTGAGACCAGGATCTTGGGTACCACCCCATGCTTTGGAGATAGGGGTGCCTCCTGTTCCACCTCCTATCCTCTCTTCACCAACCTGTCCTTTACCCAGTCCTGTCTCTTCCCCATCCCTGGCTCCTTGTCCCAGTCCCATTCTCCTTGGCTACACAGCCACAGTCTCCGTGTCCTTATCCAGCAAGCCCTAGAGTCTACTTCCTTCCCTCCCTGCCCCCTCCACATTTCTAGCTACATGAGTCCTGACCCCATTCTCACGCTTGGTAGACTGTTAATGCTCATCTTAGAGGAATTGTAGATCACGCAATTTGACAGGACCTGTGATGAACATGCTTCTCTGTGGGGGGAAAAAAAATCTCACACACACCAGCTGCTCAAAATTTTCCACAACATATTGAAGATGGTTTTGAAAAAGGTTTGATCACAGGAGCTGTATTTATAGACCTATAGGCAGCATCTGATACTGTCAAGCATTGATGGCTCCTTGCCAAATTGCTGCAGGTGACTAGAGAACTACATCTCCCTGAGCACATCTGAATGTTACTTGGAAGGAGAGTTCCTCAGAGTTGGATGGAAACAGGTGGATCCAGAGACATATGGGAGTGCAGTTGCACCCCCACTTTAAACAGTAACAGGTTCCTTCTCCTGCTGGCTGAGGGCAGATGCTGGAAGACACTGGGGGAACGAGGAAACAGGAGCAAGAAGGAGGAACCCACCCACTGTCATCACTGTCCCCAGCCATGCCCAGCACCAGGACAGCTACACAGCAGCTCCAATGATGTAAGAGCAGCATCTCTAAGCAGGTGATGGAAGAAAGGAGTCAATACATCCAAAGAGAAGTCTCAGACACCCACTGAGGATGAGGACTTGATGGAGAGATCAGAAGAGGAGGAACCCACAGAGGTACATGACTATGAGAACAACATGAGGGAGGAGAGAGATCAGGAAACAGTCAGCAGGCAGAAGCAGGGCTTTGAGATGTATAAATGCTGGCAGGCATTTGCCAAGAGGAGTTTTTCCAGGCACAGCCTCTTCATGAATAATAAGAAAATAGCCTTCTGGGATCAAGGTCGGCCCGACTGATAACAGCTTTAGAAACTAGGAGCTTAGGGCAGAAAAGCTGAGAGAATTTTGCAAAGTCTCCATGCTGAGAATAAGCTGACAACAGGAAATGGGGTGTGAACAATCAATCAGAATTATAGAAAATGAGGGTTGGAAGGGACCTCGCAAGGTCATCTAGTCCAACCCCCTACTCAAAGTAGGGGCATCCCCAACTACATCACACCAGCAAAGGCTCTCTCTTCAGGTTTTAAAAACTTCCAAGGATGGATAATCCACAACCTCTCTGGGTAAGCTGTTCCAGTGTTTTACTACCTTCCTAGTGAGAGTTTTTCCTAATATCTAACCTAAACTTCCCTTGCTGCAACTTGAAATCATTGTTCCTGGTTCTGTTGTCTGTCACAGCTGCGAACAGTTTACCGTCATCCTGTTTGGAACCGCCCCTCAGGTAGTTTCATAGTTTCTAGGGTCGGAAGGGACCTGAGCAGATCATCTAGCCCGACCCCCTGCCATGGCAGGAAGAGCACTGGGGTCAAACGACCCCAGTAAGGTGGTCATCCAACCTCCTCTTAAAAACCCCCAGGGTGGGAGCCTGCACCACCTCACTTGGAAGCTGGTTCCAGAC